CACCTGTTGGAATCTGGAGGGAGTTAACCCCTAACAATTTACAAATCAGGAGAGTGTATTTCCCTCATACCCTTATTGGGTAGGAGGTATGCAAAGACAATTCTCTAGATTTAATTTAAACATAAAGTACAAACTCTACTTTTAAGATCTGATTAAACCTGAATTCAAACCCTTAGCTTTTCCCTCTCTTAGCCCTTGCTATCTTGGGCTGTATGCTCTAGATCCTTATTAGTAAAGGCTACTTGCTGTACCTTCCACTAACTTCTGAGAGAGTCTCTCCCTGCTTTTTAATTCTATTACTCATTATCTAACTTTATTCTGGTACCGCAACATGACCAGTACTGGAACCCCCCCCCCCAATTTTTTTAATCTCCCACTGAGAGTCTAAAGTGGGAGTTCTTTCTCAATGTTCTCTCTCTAATTACAGACCTTCATTTTAAACCTTTTCACCACAAACAAGAAACATTTTACAAACACACAGACAGACAGAAACAACTGGACAAGACAAAGTGCTCATGAATCTAATTTTCTTGTTGGCTTTTTAGGTTATCTTCAATTAGACACCAGCACTGATATTTTTCCTATCTTTCTGCCTAGTACAGGTTGTATCTTCCTAGTATTTCAACATCCTCCCTAAGGTACTATCTGGAGGGATGTTCACAGGGGTCTCCTTATTTCCCCCTGGTTTCCCTGGTGCCTTTGAATTCTTGTTCCCCAGCTTACTTATTTGTCTGAGACTTACTCAGTCTTTAGTAGGATGACCCACCAAGGTAGTACTTAATAGTCCTTTCTTCTTACTTTGGTCCCAACCACCAAGGTAATACTTAATAGCTCTCTTTTCTTACCTTGGTCTGTGCACAGAGTTGCCTGGTTGCTGGGTGTGCCTACTTTCCGTTTTTGTTCCTGGTTCAGCAATGGCCTCACTCATTAATTTGGTGCTAGGATTTTGCACAGTCCATGAGCTGGGATGCCCCTCAAGGATACACAAGGCTGTTGAAATCAACAACAGATGCATCTTCCCATCCTTCAGCAGCAGTTACCCCTCACTCAGGATATTTGGATCCCAGATGATCCCCTATTTGTAAGCAATAAAAGTCTTACCAAGAATTCCACAGAGCTATTGGTGAACCAGAAAAACTTTTATTAAAGGCTTAGCAAGGCTGGGTATCCCATGTGTAGGCACACATGTTTAAGACAGATACACAGCTTTTTATTCCCTATTCCAATTCGAATTTCCTTCCCATGTTTCCCCATTGGCTGGGTACTACAGAGGTTACAGCTTATCCAAAGATCCTAATTTCCCCACATGAGTCTCCACTCCTAATTACATCTCCCATTCCCCACATTCTTTTGGCTCCACACCCTTATGAGTAATATGCAGAAGCAACATTCCCAACCACATTTTCTACACCTCAAAACTCCCTCCTCTCCAGGTCTTTGTGACTCTACTCTGTTCTGAGTCTCCTTCCAACCATCTGACTGGTCCTCTCCAGTCTTCTTTGCTGGTTCTTCATCCAGGTGAAACCAGTTAAAAGTGGGTCTGCCCACTGCCCTCTTCTCTTCTGCCTCTATATTGTTTCATTTGGTGATCTCTCATCCCGTAAACTGAATTATCATATCTATGCTGATGGTTCTCAAATCTACTTATCTAGCCTCAATCTCTTTACTGATCTCCAGTGTCACATTTCCAACTACCATTGGACATTTTGAATGGGATGTCACACAGACGGCTTAAACTCAGCACTTCCAAAATCAAACTTATTATCTTCCCCCCCCCCCCTCCACTTTTTCAAATTTCATTATTACTGCTGAGAGCATCACAATTATCCCAATCATCCAGGCTGGCAATGTATGTGTTATATTTAACTCCTCACTGTCCTACCTCCCCTTTCCCCAATAAAATGTGTTGTCAATGCCTGTTGATTTTACCTTCAAAATAGTTATGAAATATACCCTTTTCTCTCCTTCAAAACTGCTATCATCTTGCTACATGCCTTCATAAACTCCTACCTTGACCATTGCAGTAATTCAGGTGGCTGGTCCATTTTACAGTCAGCTGTCGATCTGAATTTCCTAAAGCACATGACTACATCATCCCTCAGTCAATAAATTCCAGGGGCTCCCTTTCACCTCCAAGATCCAATACACAATCCTTTATTAGGCATTCAAAAGCCTTCATAACCAACCTCCCTCACTCCAAACTTCCAATCTTCTTACTCATTAAACCTCCCCCCCCAGTCACCACCATGTCCTCTGGGCTCCAGTGACAATGGCACATTCCTCACACAAAGCATTCAACCTCCTGATGATGCATTTTCACTGGCTCTCCCCCATGCTTGGAATGTTGTCCCTTTTCATCTCAGCCTCCTGGCTGTCCTTCAGGTTCCACCTAACATACTACCTTCTACATGAGGCCTTTTCCATTCTTCTTTAATTCTAATTTCTTCCCTTTGTTGATTTTTTTAATTTCTCCTGTATAGCATGGTTGTTTGCATGAGGTCTCACCCTTTGAACTTGAGAGCAAGGACAGTATTTTGTCTTTGTCTGTAACCTAAGTACCTCACATAGTGCCTTCATAGTAACTTAACAACTTCCTTTTCCTTCCTTTTCCATCTGCAGCTACTCCAGAGCATATCATGCCCTCCTCCCAGGAAAAGCTGGTCACTTAAGATCTCCTCACCAGAAGAAAGATTCAGGTTTTGATGGTCTTCACCTTCCCAACTCACCCTCAATAACTTTCATTTTTGTGGCTGATTGTCTCCCTCCCCTCTCTTACTAAGGAATGGTAGACCCTGGGAATAATATCAGGAATCCCACCAAGGGTAGCTATTAACTCCCTTTATAAGCATTTATGTTAATTTAACTCAAAACTTTGATTAAAAAAAAGCTAATAGACTCCTCCCAAAAGTCAATCTCACCATAGATTTCTCCCAATTCTGGTAGTAGGCAGATCTGAGATACTGAAAAATCACCCTTGACACAGTCAATTACTTTATGTTACATTACACTAATCCACAGAAAAGCAGGATGTATTAACCCAATGATATCATTGTGAAATTAGGTTAGTTCAGGCATTCATGGAGTCTCATGGTGTCTCCTTCTATGTGGGTCCCTGGTCTCTCTTGTCTCATGAAGATGATCATGGCCAGGGCCTAGATTTCTTTCCTCTCCCACATGGGACTTGACATGGTTGAGGATCACACTACCTTGCCTCACCTTAGGTTTTTATCATCTTTAAGAACAATGAATATTCTCACTGCTCCCTGAACTCAGACTCCTGGTTACATCTGTGAGCTGGTCAGATTCTAAAAGTCAGGAGACTACACATGCAGAGGGGTAGCTCTCACCACCTTCTCAGGAATTTTTGCAGGAAAACTTCAAAAATATACAGGTTACTAAATGAGTTCATTCTCAGAACATTCTCCTAACTGAACTTTGACACCAGTGGTTCTTGAACTTTTTGGTCTCAGGATACAAATACACTTTTAAAAATTATGGAGAGCCCCAATATGATTTTGTTTATGGGTTATAGCTATTGATATTTACCATATTAGAAATTGAGACTGATAAATTTGAATTAATTCATTAATTCAATTAAAATAATTAACTTATTACATGTTAATAAGACATTTAAATTAAAAACAAATTTTTAAAAAGTTATCAGTAGGAAGTGCCATTGTTTCTACATAATTGAAAATCTCTTCACTATCTGCCTTACTAGGACAAAGCTGGATTCTCATGTCTGCTCTCCTTTCAATCTGTTGCAACATGTTGTTTTAGCTGAAGTACATAAAAAATCTGGACTCACACAGGTATAAAGTTGGAAGAGGAAGGTGTATTTTAAGATGCAAATAGAGAATTAGAACAAGTATGTAAATAATTGTGACCTATGAAGACCCTTAAAAGAGTGTTGGAGACTGAGAGGCACCTGATTATGCAGTGGATAGAGTTCTGGGTATGGAGTCAATTAGAGATGGGCTCAAATCCAGCTTCAGATATTTATAAATTGTGAGACTCTGGGCAAGTTACTTACCCTCTTTTTGCCTCAGTTTTCTCAACTGTTCAACGAGGGGTAACAGTTGCATCTACTTCCCTGGGTTCTTGTGAGAATCAGAGAGATGACATCTGTAAAAAGCACTGAGCATAGTGCCTGGCACATAGTAACGCATAGTACCATATTAAAGCTTTTTCCTCTCCCTCCCCTCTTCCAGAGATCCTTGGACTACAAATTAAGAACTGCTGGATTAAATGGTCTCTGAAGTTTCTTTTGGTTGTGGATTTATGCTCTGTGGTCCCATGACATAGCTTACATGGATAGCGATGCTAGTCTCCTTCTATTTCCCAGGGCAGTAATGAAGAATAATTTCTGATTAGATCACAGGACTCTGTGTCCAGCAGTCTGCCCTCCTTATTCTCCCAAATCCCTTTATTGAAACCACTTTACTGGGGAAAAGAAATATAAAAAAAAACATAAAAAAGAAAAAAAAACTTAGAATGTTGTGTGACCAGGAAGGTGAGGAAGAGTCTTTCATTGTACCACTAGTTCCTGTAGGCTATAGGGTGAGGACAAGGGAAGAGGCAGTGAATGAGTCCTAACTAACTCCCCCCAAATGAAGCCCCCCATCAGCAGCTGCCACCCATCTGCAGTTATTCTATCAGACCAGATAACTCCATTTCCATTTGCCTGGATCTTGAGTAAATGCTAGGCACAGTTTTTATACCAACCTCATCCCCTCTCCCTTTCCCCATGGCAGACCTTTGGATACCTAAACACAGGACAGAGGTGTATGAGATTAGGAAGATTAGGGTATAATACAAGCTCCATTAGTGGGTCTAAGGGCCAAGCTCTTCTTGAGGAGGATCCCTAGGTCATCCTGAGGGTCAGAGCCCTGACATGTAGAATCCCCCAGATATAAGTGCTCTCACCCTCTCTTCTGAGGTCAGCACTTCTGCTCCTTCCTCTCCTCCCACTTCCCCAACCATAGCTTCTCCCACTCTCTCTTACTTCTTCTTTCCTCTCAGAGGCTCAGAATCCGGCAGTGGAGAATCCAGATCAACACCCTCCTGCCATCCGTCAGCCCAAGGACAGCATGAAGAGACCACCTCCCATGTCCCCTGCCTCTGGACCCATGAAGGCGTGATGACCCAGGCAGCCCCACTGCTACTGCTGCTGCCTTTGCTGTTAATGGGCATCTGGGGGTGGAGGAGGTTAGGGAAAGGTAGAGGTGATGACTGACAGGGAGCAGAGAAGAGAGAGGAGAGTGGCAGAAGGGAGGGAGTACAATGTTGTGTTACAATGAGGGACTAGGGAGGGATGGGAGCAGTGGTGTGCTGGAGCCAGCTCACACTGGCTTGGAAGAGCTGATTGTTCAATTTGCAGTGAGAGCATTTACAATTTGAAAATTGGCAAACACTGCATACAAATGAAGAGGTGGTTTATTGTTTAGTTAATAGGCTAGTCTTAAAAAAGGGATGGAGAAAATGTTAAAAATGCAGATTGAATTTTTAAATGTAGCAAGAGTATATATATGTACATGCATGTGTTTAAATAAAGTGAGAGAGAAGGAAAGGCAAGAAAGAAGGAAAGATAGAGGAGGGGGAGGGAAGAAGAGGAAGAGGGATAGAGGGAGACAAAGAGAAAGATTGAGACAACTGGTTGTTAATTGTTTACTAGGCCACCACTGGTTAGGAGGCTCCCTTGGGTGAGGGGATGTCTCTTTGAGGTATGTTTTCTTAGAAGAGGATGTTATTTAAGGAGACCAGCCCCCTTACCTTGTTCCTATTCTTCATTCAAGGAAGGGAGGTGACTCAAGGGAGGGCCAGCTGGGCTCCCCCTGACCTGATGACCTGCTTTTCAGGTTCACAGGGAGAGGTGTTGCCAGTGAAGTACCAGGAGGGGCAGACACTTAGAGTGAGCTGCATTTACCATCCCTGGACAGCTGAGAAGAGCTGGAAAACCTGGTGTAAATTGGAAGAGAATGGAAGGTGGTGTGAAAGAATAATTACCAGGAACTCAGTGGACACTGCACAACTTACAGACCTACGAGTCTCCCTGGTGGATGACACCTACACTGGTACCATCACCATCACCATGTCTAACCTCAGGGTGAAGGACTCAGGCATCTATTGGTGTGGAATCTATGACTCTGTCAGGTCAGGAACTCTGTTGATGTTCTCGGGACAATCAGGCTGGAGGTTTCTCCAGGTAAGGCCCTGCCAACTCAATCCCCTTCAGTTGCAGCAGAACCTAGGAAATACCTGGTGTGAACAGACCGTGGGCTAGGATGTGAGCTTGGGTCTCCTTGGGGTCTCCAGGGAGAATCTGCTCCCTCTCCTTCAGTCCTTCAGCTTCCTGCCCCTCCACACTCCCATCCTCTCCTCACTTCCTTCCAGACCACAGTTATGATGGTAGCTCCTCTTCTGGTCCCTGGGAAAAGCAAGACCCCCATGCAGAGCAGACATTTTTCCCATGGCTTCGAAGGCACAGAATTGTGCCTCACTAATTTAGGATGCTTGAAGCTCTAGACCCAGGAGACAAGGGAGAGGAAGATGGTTCAACCAGAGGTATTGATGGAGCATATCCTAGCAGGTTCTAATGGAAAAGCATAGACACAGGGTCAACTTTTAGTTGTGAAAATGACTTATGTTGTGACCCTGAGAGGTCATTCTAACTCTATTAGACTTAGTTCCTTATTTGTAAAATAGAAGTGAGGGGAAGGGGATTGCAATTGTAACAATGAGTGTGGGAAATACTCTTTATTAAATATAACTGCTCTACATCTGGGAATTTTTAGTATTGCTTTCTTTCTGATTACCAATCACACCCAACTCCTAGGGATAGAGGAAGCATCCTATAGGGATATATAGCCTTGGTCAGGCTATCAGAGTGCCTCTGGGAAGCAAAGGAGTCTGATGGAGACATTAGCAGCAAAAAAAATTGTCTAGGTACTTGACAATATATACGAAATGGCGTATGATATACTATAACATATTAGCTCAGAGCATGCATGCATACAACGTCTGAAGCTTTTTCAAGGCCCAACACGTCTTTGGGGCCAGCTCTCTAATTGTTCTGGCTTCTCCAGGGAAGAGCAGGCATGGGAGGTGTGGGATGAAGAGCTAAGTGTTTCCTTCCTCTGTTCTTCTTTCAGCCACAACATCGAAGACCAACAAACATTCTCAAACTACCACTGACTCACCTCTCACCACCTCTGCCATGCCTTTGGCCACCAGCAGGTACAATTCCTTTTTGGAAATCCATTGTGTCTCAAGATCTCCCAGCCTCAGCAGTTTATGTGAGGCTCACTTATGCTGTCCCAGACTTCTAGTCTAAAGCGACCTCTTCCCAGCTTTCCAGAACAAAAGGGAGCTGGGGGTTCCCTTGGGCCTAGTGAAACTATACTTACTAGTTTCCCCTCCTTCCCTCATTTTCAAATTTAGAATAGCTTGAATTGTGATTTCTTTTAGCCCTTAACTGACATTGTTCAGTCCTGAACCCACCCTGCCTTGTGTCCTATGCTAAGCCCTGTCCCTCCTCCTTTATTTTTGACAGTGGGTATAGTTTATCATACTTCCTTATCTCCATATAAACCAGGCAAATCCCCAAATTCCTCTCTGTTAAACAACTCTGTCTTCTTGATAAGCTGGGCAGTATTCCCTCATGACTGATGGACAGAGGTCTGGTTATGTCACCCCAGAAGCTCTGGCAGCTCCCTATGACTTTCAGGATACAATCCAAAGTCCTGGGTTCCATCTGACTCTCTTCAGACTCTGGCTTCAGCCAACTTTTCTAGATCGATAGAACCTTGCTGTATTCCACACTCTCCATGTTCCAGCAAAACAGTTTTCCTTGCTTTTCCTCACACACAACATGCTAGCTCCCATTTCTAAGCCTGTACACTGTCTCTGTCCCATGCTTCAACGCAAGCCCTCCTCACCTCAGCATTTAATTATTGGGAGCTTCTTTCAAGGTTCAACTCAAACACTTTCAAAGAGACTTTTTTCATTCCCCCTAATTGCCAGTGTTGATCTGAAAGTTTGGTTAAAGAAGGCAAACAAGTTAGGTGATACATGATTATATAGTTTATTCCCTTTTATCTAGTAAATCATGTCAACATGGAAGCCAGAATGGGATTCTGAGTCCGAGATTAAGCAAAATGAGAAGGGTTTTTATACAGTTTAGAGTGATCAGACTCAGGATGTCTGTGTTACAAAAAATACAGCCTCCATATGTTTTTTGTTTGTTTGGTTGGTTTTTAAGGCAATTGGGGTTAAGTGACTTGCCCAGGGTCATGCAGCTAGTAAGTGTCAAGTGTTTGGTCTGAGGCCACATTTGAACTCAGGTACTCCTGACTTCAGGGCCAGTGCTCTATCCACTGCACCATCTAGCTGCCCCTCCGTATGTTTTTTTTAACATATAGCATGGGAAAGGAATTTCCCTAATTGAATAGGTTGTAAATATAATAAAACAGGAGAATGTCAAAGTGTCAATAGAAACTCAAGGTAAGAAAAGTCCCATTATTCAAGAAAGTATCTGGTCCCAGACATCCTGGGCTTAGTGATAATGAAGAGGAAGAATGATGATCAGTTCTATCTGGTCCTGGAATTTGCTGACACAGGAATGGGTGTTTTTAGTTCACTCAGAGAGAAAAAGATCAATGCAGGTTTTTGGCCCTTATTGGGGCTCAATTGATCTTAAATGATTATCACCAGTGACTCCTAAACAGTTGTTTGTATTTATCTGGTTGAATGTCTCATTTACATGTTGGTGAATGTGTCATCCCCCCAGAACACAGGGAAGCTCCTTGCAGGATGACATCACTTCATTTCTGTCCTGCTCTCCCATCATCTAGTACAGCTCCTGACTCTGAGCATCCTCTTAATTCATAAACACTCCTGGATTCTTTCAGAGACCTCAGCCCTGCTTTGGGCCCCTGTGACAAGAGAAAACCAAACAGAAACAAATCAGAACTTCAGATATCCCAAAGTCACAAAGTGGGAAGAAGTGGTGACTAGGACTCCTACTGAAGGATGACATTGTTTTTTCTCTCTCTTCCCTTCCCTCTTCATGGTGGCTCACCCTCATTCCCTCTTTCTTCTTTTATTCTCTGAAGTGTAAGGCCTATTGGTGTTCCCTTGAGGAGCCAGGGAGGCCTCCTCTTCTTCACCCTCCATCCATTAACCCTTTACAGTGGACACATGGTATACCAAATGTAGACAGCACCTACTGAGGACTCCATCAGTAAGTCAGCCAGTAAGGTACCTAGAATTTATTAAGTACCTATTGTATGCTGAGTACTGTGCTAAACTCTGAGGACGAAGAGGAAGGAAAAGACCATCTCTGGTCTCAAGGAGCTCACAGAAAAATGGAGGAGACAAGATGCAAACAATTTTGTAGAAAAATCTATATACAGGATAAATTATACAGGAGATAGCACACATAGGAGATAATCAGCAGATGGAATATAGGAACCTCCACAGGTAGGGCTAAGGCCTAGACCTGAGCAGTCACTCATCCCATACCTTCTGCCATATCCCAGCTATATCTCACTTTTCTTGTTTTCCTCTCTCCCATAGGCCATCACACTCTTCTACTTTCTCCAGTTCCCCAGTTATCCAAGTACTATGTGGACTCATTGTGACCAAAGGCCTAGTCTTCATAGCTCTGCTTGTTCTGTTCAGTAGGTGAGTGGGGACCCTCAATCTGACTTCATTTTAACTCCACCAGGAAGCATGGCCTTTTCAATCTCCAGACAGAAGCAGCTACCTGAGCTCCAAGCTCTGAAGGAAAGATGCCCAGGCATTTCTAAAAGTCTCATTCTTAGTGCCAGACCTGAGGTAGTATGGCTAAGAATTCCTTGAAAAGCCAACAGTGATAAACAAACAGGAAGAAATGTCATCTTGAATATAAAGAACTGTTTCTGACATTGTCCTGAAGGCTGTAAGCTGGGGCCATGAGAAGGGCTTGCAGGACACTGAGCTTGTATCCCAAACAAGAGGGAAGGGTTTGAGGTAATGAGAAACTGGAAATGGAGGCTTGTTCACTTTTTTTTTTTCTCTCTCTGTGATTGATTCTTCTCCTACAGTCAGGGTCTCTACCTAGACATTTGTCCTGGGTGGATTTGGGTGAGAATTGAAAATAAGAGTACCAGGCTTGAAAAAAAAAAAAGGAATAATATCAGGCTGTAGGACAGTGGGGAACGATTATTACCTGAATTTTCTCTTCTTTCCTCAGGTAAAGGAAGGAGTCACTCTGAACTTTCTCAGGATCAAAATGACCTGAAATGAAATGAATTCATTGCAATATACATCCCAACCTGATGCATGTTCCTGCCATCCTGAACTTGGCCCAGGCCACTGGCAATATGCAGACATCCCTTTCAGGACAGGAATCCAGCCACCATACTCATGCTGATTCCCTGCCCAGATCCTTGAAGCCTTTTGCTTGCCCTTTCAGCTCTGAGTGGACCTCAGAGCCCACCTCTTTTTTACTTTTATGATGACAAGCTCCCCATGTCTGTTTCTGGCATTCTTATGGCTCTGTAAATGGGCCAGTCTGTTTCTCTGAGACTTAGAATGACTCCTCATTGCCTTTGAAATGAAGTTCAAAATCCAAGTACTCAAACCTTTCATGGTGTGGCCCTCAAATATTGATCCAATCTTCCTTCTCACTATTTCCCTGCAGAGACTCTCCACTACGGCCAGGTTGGGCTCTTCATGTTCTCTAGAACATCATATAAAACTCAAGTATCATTGGGGGCCACTAACCTGTGCATAAGGATCTCTGTGTGCTACATTTTGACTTATAAAAATCATTCATTAATATTATCTGTATTATATTTTATTTTAATTTATATTCTTACCCATTTCCCAATTACATCTTAATCTGGTTCAGGATGCACTTGGGAGCATTGTGGGTGGTGTGCAGCCCACATGCGCATTTGGACACATCTGCTCCAGAACAGGGTCATGTTCACCTGTCTACCTTGTTCTTTCCTATTCTGCCTATTTCTAAGGTCCTGCTGCCTAGGCACCTATGTAGGACCTATTTATCCATTGGAACACTTTAGCAATCCTAACTCCTTTAAGAAGACGTATGTGACCCCACAACCAGATTTGAGGCCCCCCTCTCAAAATCCATTGACATTCTCTTTCTCCTTCCTAGCATTTATCATTCCTCAACTTGTACTGTCCCAGGGTGAGCTCTGGGGATCTCTGCCTGGGTTATATGACTTCTTTCTATAAAAATTTTTTAAAGGAGTTCCAATGCAATTATTTTTTCAGGCAGCTAGGTGGCACAGTGGACAGAGTACTTGGCTTGGATTCAGAAAGACTCATTTTTCTTAGCTTAAATCTGCCGTCAGACACTTACTAGCTGTGGGACCCTGGACAAGTCACTTAACCCTGTTTGCCTCAGTTCCTCATCTGTAAAAGAAGCTGGTGAAGGAAATGGCAACCCTCCTGTATCTTGAACCCAAATGGGTTCACATATAATTGGACATGCCTGAAAACTGACTGAACAACATTTATTCCAGGGCTTTTGTTTTTCTTCCTATCTTGAGGGTGAGTTCAGATGTGGGGAAAGAGTAGAAAGCAGGCAGGAGAAAGATGGCATAGATTTTTGTTACTTAAAATTTTTTTTTAAATTTTAATAAAAGAAAGAGAATAAGTACTTCTAATAAAGAGAGATCTGAACAGAGAATAGGTGTCCCTCACATAACTGGAGAGAATTTAGCGATTTCAGCACTACTCTGTTATATCCTGTTTTGTCAAGTTATTATTTCCCAAATTGGGTAATGTTGTGAAAAAGGTCTCTTGGTAAAAGGTGGCGGGGACTTAGGACAAGTCACAAATAAACACACAATTGTGGATCTCCTACATCTATGGACTAAATAGCCGCATCAGAGAAGGTGCTGTGCTTTATGAGCAAAGCAGAATTGAAACAGCTTAAAGGAAACACAGGATGTGCAAATGTAGAGAATCTACCTCAAATATTCACAGGGACTATTTGTGCCCACCTGTGGTAGAGCATTCAGAGCTTGTATTGGTCTGATCAGCCACAGCTGGACACACTGAAACTTGTCTCTAGCATACCAATATCATTTTGGTTCTCTTTTAGAATGCAGGACAAAACCCAATCAACTACTATCTATTAACTTGGAAAACTCCAGTAGTCCTAGCACCCTAGCACCCAAGCACCCAGGCATGCATGCATGTGCAAGCATGCGTGTGCGCACACGCACACACACACACACACACCCCCTTAAGGATACATTCATTTCTACAGTCCATTGCTACCACACAAGAGGAATGCTCCCTCAGGGTACCCAGATTTGCACCCTCATAAAACACAAAGCAATTCCTGAGCACTGGGCTCCCCGGTACAACGGCATTCACAAGACATCTTCCACTGAATCCATTTTGAGAAAATTCCCCATCTTTCAGGTATTTCATCAAGGCTTCCCTCCCCTTTCTCCCAAAGGAGCAGTGTCTATATTATGCAGATTTTTGGAAGGCATTTGGGGGTTAACATCAGAGATGATAAAGAAGAGACTATCCACCGAAGGGTAAAGGAGATAAGAAATAAAAAAATAGGATAGGAAAGGATGGTCTTGGTTCCTTGAGGGATCAATGGATCAAGAATACTAGTGCAGGAGTTTGGATTGGAGTATCCCTTACCAAGCAGGAGTAGGGGTAGGACTATACAGACTAGCCCATGAATCACAGGCTGGGCTCTCCTGGCAACTTCTGGGGAAATGTGACAAAATAGAAGGAACAGACACTTGGGGATGATACAGTCTCTGTGAGACTCCTTTTCTACATTGCCCACCATGGGCTACAGCAGAATACAGGGATGTATCCAGTTCCACCTCTATAAGGGGCAATCTCACCATAGATTGGCTGTAGGCAGATATGAGACACTGACCAAGTAACCCTGGATACAATCAATGAGTTTGAGTTATGGACACTTAATCTACAGGTCAGCAGGCTGTATGGAGTTAATGATATCATGGGGGTGTTAAGCCAGAAGAGGCTTCATGTGCTTCTCAGTGTCTTTCACGGTTCAGCTGCCTGGGCTCTTTTGTCACATATGACCCTCCCCTTATTCCTAAACCCACTTTAGCCGAATCCCTTCCCTGAAGCTGGAAAAAGGACTGATAAGGCTGACTGGAGAGGATCTAGTGAGAGCAGAAAGAAGAGAAAGGACAATCTCTCATTTGCCACTGCCCCTCCTGGCCATAAGGAGAGGTTAATGGTAGAGAGAGTGAGGAGATCCAGGAATATCCACCTGCTTCTGCCATAGATCTCCTTCCTAAGTATATATCCCAGTACATCTAGCAACTGCTGTCTGAAGTGCTCCCTCTCAGGTCAGACAACTCCATTTCCATTTGTCTGAGCCCTGATTGAATCCCAGCCCCAATGCTAGCATCTTTGTCCCCTCATTCTTTGGGGTCTTAAACATAAGGTTCATGGATGTGAGAACAGAATATCAGTGCAATAAGATAAGCTCCACTTGTAGGTCAGTCCTACAGACCAAGTCAGGAGCTTGAGGTCAGTCTCAGGGCTTATGAAGGTAAAGCCAAGATGGCAGACCAGCAGGAAGCCAGACAGACAAGCCCCCTTCCACAAAACTCCTCCAAAAAGACCTAGAAAAGGCAACAGACTGAATCCTGATGGGGAAATCCAGAGCAAGGAGACATTTGTCCAGCTCAGGTTATCACACAGAGACAGACAGAGAGGCCTGTGGACACTGGGGATGGGATTGGACCAGAACACTCCAGTGCCCAGGAAGAGGCTGTGCACCAGGTCAAGAAGATGTCCTATATCCAAATCAAAGCATGTGAGACCAAGACCAGGGCACTGTAGTTGATAAAAGTGCTAATGTTTTGTTGCCCCTTTACCCAGTTCTGAGTCATAGATCCAGGGCCAATTGAGAAGAGGCCCTGCCCATGAGGTTGGTGTCCCAGGGAAGGGAGGCCCTAGATGGTGTCCTGGCCTACTTAGAAAGGAAGAAGTTCAGAAGCAAGGAGCAGTATTGTGACTCAGACCCCAGGAACAGAGCAGGGTCTCAGTTCTAGCATCTAGCCCAGCCTGCAGAGGAACAAGCAGGGCATGGGCACCAGACCAAAGGGCAGCCTATAGTTCTGTCCCAATGAACCAACAGAGCCTTCCAGATGGCAAAATGAAAATAGAAAGAATTCACCAATCACTTTATAAAAGAAACATCAAATCACAAACTTTCAGGAACATGATAGCTGAAATCCAACCCAAGTCAAATTAAAAAACAAAAAATTGTAAGCACCCAAAAAGAAAGATTTAGAATATCAAGCTACTATACTCAGGATCCCACAACCATCCTCTCAGTCCCCCAGGCTGGTAAACTTGCTGTTATCTGGACTCCTCACTCTCACTCACCACTACCACCCTCCTTCCCCACACACACTCCCATACCCAATCTGCTGCCAAGGTCTGTCACTTTTACCCCCATAATATCTCTGTCATCTACCCTTCCTGATGTAGACACTCATCTCCTCATTCCTGCTCTATCGTAATATCCTATTGGGTGCCTCAGGTATCTGCCTGCTCTACCTTCCTCTGAGCTGTCAAAAGTGATCTTCCTAAGCATGGGTCCCACCATGCCCAACCTCTAATCAATATATTCTGGTAGCTACCCATCACCTCCAGGAACAAATATACAATCCTCTGGCATTCAAAACTTTCTTTTTCTAAAATTAATTTTCAGTTTTCAACATTCACTTCCACAAGATTTTGAGCTCCAAATTTTCTGCCCATCTCTTCCCTCCCCCCATCACAAGATGGCATGCATTCCGAATACCCCTTCCCCCAGTCTGCTCTCCCTTCAATCCCCACCTTGTCTTATCCCCTTCCCTTTCTATTTTCCCATAGGGTAGGATAGATTTCTCTACCCAATTGCCTGCATATCTTATTTCCCAGTTGCATGTAAAAACAATTTTTAACATTTGTTTTTAAAACAAATTCTCTCTCTTCTTCTCTGACCACCCACCCTCATGGAGAAGGCAAGCAACTCAATGTAGGTTATACATGTGTAGTCATGTAAAACACTTCCATAATAGTCATGTTGTGGAAAACTAACTATATTTCCCTCCATCCTATCCTACCCCCTGTTTATTCTATCCTATACTTTGACCCTGTCCCTCCTCAGACATGTTTGCTTCTGATTACCCCCTCCACCAATCTGCCCTCCCTTCTGTCATCTGCTCCTCTCTTTTATCCCCTTCTCCCCTATTTTCCTGTACAGTAAGATAGATTTCCATGCTCAATTGAGTGTGTATATTATTCCTTCATTAAGCCGAATCTGATGAAAGTAAGATTCACTCATTTCCTCTCACCTTCCCCCTTTCCCTCCACTGTAAAAGTTTTTTCTTGTCTGTTTTATGTAAGATAATTTACCACATTCTACCTCTCCCTTTCTCCTTCTCCCAGTATAATCCTTTTTTACCCCTTAATTTTATTTTTTAGATATCATCCTTTCATAATCAACTCACTCTGTGTCCTCTGTCTATATGTATTCCTTCCAACTACCCTAATACTAAGAAAGGTCTCATGAGTTGCAAATATCATCTTTCCATGTAGGAATGTAAACAGTTCAACTTTAATAAGTCCCTTATGATTTTCTCTTTCCTGTTTGCCTTTTCATGCTTCTCTTGAGTCTTGTATTTGAAAGTAAAATTTTCTATTCAACTCTGGTCTTTTCATCAAGAATGCTTGAAATTCCTCTATTTCATTGAGTTTCCATTTTTCCCCTTGAAGGATTATACTCAGTTTTGCTGGGTAGGTGATTCTTG